ATGGCTTTCAATCTTCCTACGTTTTAAAAATTTTTTGTGGCTTATTTGATATCTTTCCTCTGGAATAAGGCCCATGTTTAAAAAGATTTTCTTTGGTTACTTATTTAAGAAATATAGCTATAGAACAGCTGTCTGATATATCAGGAACTGTGCTAGACTATGAGGGCTGAGCACTGAATATGACTGATGGGGTCCCGGCTGTTGTGGACTTTGGATGTTGGGGAGGAGCTAGAGGGAGAACCTGGGGTGGACAGTGAAGTGTCCTGCAGTTAAGGATGGGGCAAAAGTGAATGTAGACAGCGGGGGATTAGGTGGGGCCAGAAGAGCTGAAAGGACTTTGTTGAGGAGCTCAGAACAATGATAGGAGTTAATCAAGTAAAAGAGAGTAAAATGAGCATTTCAGGAAGAAGGAAAAAACATATGCAAATATTTGGCAGTAAGGCTGAACACAGAAGGTTTGAGGAATTGGGAGAAGTTCAGTGTCATCTGAGCAGAGGACGTAGGAGGTGGGAGGTGGGTATAAAGGTGTGAAGCCGAAGAGAAAGGCAGGATATAGAGGGAGACACAGCTGGTTTGGCAAGCTTGGATTTTAGGAAGGCTGGGCTCATAGCAACTGGTGCACGGATATTGAAATGTGGATGTTCACACACCAGGGCTTGAATCCCAACTCAGCCACCCCTGGCCTGTGTGATGTTGACCACACCTCTGTGTCTCAGAATCTCAATGTCATTGTTGCTGGCAGTGTGGGGGTAATAATGCCTCCCTCCTAGGGCTGATTTGAGGATTGAATGAGTGAGTACGTGAAAAGTGCATAACATATAAGAGCTTGATAAATGATCATTATTGCTGTCAGTTCCAAGAAAAATGGAAAGCTGTTCTTCTGTCTGGGAGTAATTTGTAAGGAGTGAGACAGGGATGTGAGTTAAGAGGGGATGGGAATAGTGCACATGAGGTGATGGTGGCTGGGACCAGAGGACTGACAGATATTGGACGGATATTTTTGGGTGGGAGGTAGGAAGCAAGGGTCATGGGAGTCTCAGATAGTCCTTGGGATTTGGACACGAGTGAGTGGATGAACATTCCAAAGTCTAAGACTAAACCATTCTAAAGCCTGAGCTGCAAGGGAATAAGGAAAGTCTGTTTTTCACTTTCCCACCTGTGGGGCAGGGAAAGGCAAGCTTGAATAGTTGTGGGATATGACTCATGAGAACATCATAAAATCAGTTCAGGTGGTCACAACAAGGGTATTTCCTTAGTCATAGATAAAGGTAAGTATTACTTAATGAAATGTTTGTCTTCGGTGTGTGTGTGTTGTTTGTATGTGCACGCACAAATGCAGTTGTTTGCAAAGTAGGGTTTTCTTTTTTTCTTTTCTCCCTCTCTGGGTCATGGTAAGAAAGTGAAACACAGCTTGCGAGCCACTGCACTAGTCCCTGAGTGCAGTCTTCCACTGCAAGATCTCAGAGAGAACTCGCGTACAATGTCTACTGAATGTATTGGACTGGATTTTCGGGAAAGAACCAAACTGAATGTAGAGATGATGCAGTCATTGGCAAGAAAATGTCATTTGAAGGCAAGGGGGTTGGTTCACTCACTCAGGGAGACAGTGTGGAGTGAGAAGAGAAAAGAGACCTGAGCCCAAGGAACATGGATGTTTGGTCTCAGGGGAGAAATTTCCTTCTGGTGGTGTGCGTACCCCTCTTGCAGTCTGGATCTTTCATTCATTCTCCAGAAAGAGAACCATGTCCAGGGGAGCCCTGGAGTGCTTTGGCAAGACGTTCCAAGCACACGCTAACTAGAGCTGATTTTTCAGCAGCCTGGCAGAGCCGTGGCACACAGGCTGGCACCTTGGCTGGGGCCTGGCACCACACTGGCACTCAGGACTTTGTGTGGGATGGTAGCACAGAGCCAAGAGGTTCTTAGGAAATACAGAAATGGCTCTTTAGATTCCAGGGCTCCAGCTTGTGAGTTGTGACCTCAGAAGAGTCTTAAACCCTCACTGGTCAAGGCGAACTTAGTAGCTTTAGGGTACTATTTCTAATTTTTAAAGAGAATTCTTTTGCAATATTGAAAAATGGCAATAAGGGATGGGAACTATGCAGGAAGATCCTTATTGCAGCAAGATCAGAAGGCAAGCTACATCCTTATCCATATCCTTATCCAGAGAATGAGCACACTCTGATGTATTCAAACAATGAAATAGTATAACAGCAGTTAAATGAATGAGCTATTAATAGATCTGTGTGTGTCAGCTTAGATAAATCTCAGAACCTTAATGTTATATGAAAATTTCAAGTCACAAAATGCCATATAAAGTGGGATATCATTTATTGAAAATTTTAAAAACACACAGACTTGTACTATGTATTCCTATGGGGAAACAAATATAAAACCATATAAATGAAAGTGTTTATCACTCAGTTCAGTCATGTCCAACTCTTTATGACCCTATGGACTATAGCCCCCGCCAGGCTCCTCTGTCCCTGGAATTCTCCAGGCAAGAATACTGGAGTGGAGATTCCCTTCTCCAGAGAATCTTCCTGACCCAGGAATCGAACCCAGGTCTCCTGCAGAATTGCAGGTGGATTCTTTACCATCTTCGCCACCCGGTGACGGGGGCATGCAGACGCCCAGGCTGTAGTTAGCTCTGGGGAGGGGGCAGGGAAGTGAACATAGCGGGGCGGCTTCAGCTCTACCTGTACTTTTACTGTTTAAAAGAAGCAGAAGCAAATATAGTAAAATATTAATAGTTATTAAATACTGGTGAGTCATGGGAGAAATACTACTTTCTGTTCTTTTCATAATTAAAAATAAATACAAAAATATATAAACTTTGCAGTGCCCAGAGCAATAATCAGGCTTCTTCCCCTGACCCCAGTTTAAGCAGATGACCTGTAAAACAATTATTAGGGGACAGTGTATATACATACATACATACACATATGCATATATAGAGTATACATATATGTACATGCATACATACACACCTACTTACACACACATATATATACACTCACCTATCTATGTAACCTTAAATAAAACAAGCTTTTAATTTTTTTACTGAAGAATATTGTTCATATTATATATTTCTTCATTTTCTGAGAGATGAAACATTTATGTCATGGGACCCTAAACTTTTTCCATGATTTGACCATGAACAAAAATCTACAGACCACCTGTCTCACATTTGAATGATGATCCTGAATTGTTTTGAGAGTCAGGGAGAAACAGAGGAATCCCTGAGGACTGAGGCCTGCTTCAGAGCAGTGCTTGATCGATGTGACTTGAGGAATTATGAAAAGGCTAGAAGGAAATGGCTACCCACTCCAGTACTCTTGCCTGGAAAATCCCATGGACAGAGGAGCATTGTAGGCTACAGTCCATGGGGTTGCAAAGATTTGGACACGACTGAGCGACTTCACTTTCACTTTCACAGCGGGGGCAGAGGGGTCTGGTGGGTAGTAATGGGGTCAGGAGGCTGGGCTTAAATCCCCACTTCAGTCTCTGCCCTGTAGTGGGCTTGCATTCCAACACTGGCTCAGCTGATGTCTCAGTATCTTTCCAGAGATGACACTCACTGATTCCTCTGTGCTCTTAACGGCTTTGTCCCCCAGCGCCAGGACAGTCGGCGTGTTCCAGGGATTCCGGAAGGCTCCCTCGTTCGGTGAATCCTGCCCAGTTTCTCCTGCACTCCTTTCTTTGGTTCCTGATCCTATCAGCCCCCCTGGACCTGCAGGGCCCTTCTCCCCGCTAAGCATTGTGTGATGTGGGGATTCTGAGAAGGAATTGGATGAGGAGGCATCCATGTGTGATGAAGAAATGGGTGAGGAAGAAGTCCCCAAATGTGGAGAAAGACAGTCCTGTGAATTTTCCCAAGGGCAGATATACATCTATACTCACTTGTTATTATTCATCAACTCGTCCATCACCCTGCTCTGCAAGTTCTGCAAGCATAGTGTGTGTGTGTGTGTGTGTGTGAGTGTGTGTGTGCGTGTGCGTGTGTGTGTGTGTGCGCGCGTGTGTGTGTGTGTGCGCGCGTGTGTGTGAGTGTGTGTGTGCGTGTGTGTGTGTGTGTGTGAGTGTGTGTGTGCGTGTGTGTGTGTGTGTGTGTGTGTGTGTGTTTATGTGTTGGGGATGGCAGAGAAAGCATGAGTGAGCACCAGATGAATTTTTACCAAAGAGGCATAATTTTAGGCAGCCTGGACTCCCGGTTTGACTTATTTTACTTGCATAGATGGCGTCATTTGCTCACAGCATTTCCAGGGGCTTGGTAACCCTCAGCGAGTGGCAAAATTCCATTTTAAACTTTCTAGGTCATCCACTCCCTATGGGTTGCCATTTTCTTTTCCAGGGGTCTTCCCAACCCCAGGATTGAATCCAGGTCTCCTGCATTACAGGCATATTCTATACCATCTGAGCCACCAGGCATTCCATATTATCCCCACATTGGGTTATTAATGATTATTAATATGATTATTATTCTCTTATAATTCTTTGTCTTGCTACTGGATTCCTTTAAATTCTGTGTCTTCAGATGCTGGCTTTCAGGCCATTGCTCGACAGAGACTGAGATTAGGAACCCCTCAGGAGGTAAATGTCAGGTACCTCTGCTCTGGAGTGTTGGTTAAAAATGAAAATGGAAGCTTTCTCAAGTTAATATATGAGACAGTAGAAAATTTACTTAGCTTCCACATGCTTAGGTTGCAGATACTTTTTCAAGAATGCAGGAGTTGGTTTCATCAGGATTCGTTTGTCCTACAGAGTTAGGGTGTAAATGCCAGGTGCCCCCTTATTCTGTGGCTTTGGGTCCTCAAAACCTATGTTTTCTTTTTTACCACAGACCACTTGACTTGCTGAATTCAACATCTCTTCCAATGCCCACTCCTCCCAAAGAATCTACTCCAGAAAGTGTTGAAGAGAAATGTAGACTTTACTGGACATTTCTTAGTGGAGACCTAGAAAGCGGTCTCTAACACCCGGCTCAGCAAATTACTTTAATCTTTCCCTTAGCCATTTCTATTCTCTGAAGTTCCTCTCATCCATACCACCACTGCTGTTCTTTTTCTTCCCTTCTTTGAAACCATTTCTAGTCCTTCTCTGACAAACTTCCCTGAGTTCCGACTCCTTTCTCTTCTTTCCTCCTGACTGAGAAAAATGCAAACTTTACTCCCTTCCTTTACATAGCAGTTAAGGCATTCCTTTTTCCTCTGAAGCATAACTTCACGAGCTTATATTTCAAGTCAGTGGTCCTTCTCTCAAACAAGGTGCTCCCTCACAGACGGACAAACGTAAATGTAGGTTGAAATGTCCTGGCCATCCAGATCAGGAGAGGAGGCGGCCGTTCGTCAGAAGTCCTCACCATTTTCAGAGTCATTGTCTGTCAACAACACAGTGAGGCCTTAAAAACCCTCCACAGAGTTGTTTCCTGAGAGCTGTTTGAAGTGGGGAAAGAGTTCATGTGGGAGACAGCAGCCGCTCTTCTCTTACCAAACGGCTGATCACCGTGACGGCTGCATGCGCGCTGAGTGCCTGCCGAACTCACGGCACTTTCCTGACGGGAAACAAAAGCTGTCTGTTGCTGTCCTGTTGTCACTCTCAGTTCCGCCGGAGTCAAGCCTGGCCGGGTGGTTTTCCAAATACCCGCAAGACAATAGACGCAGGAGGGTCAGTTTCGCAGACTTTAGATGCTACTGTTGATTCCGTTTGTCAAGCAAGGTGCCCTGCCCCTCGTCCCCAACTCCCGACTCTGCTGAGGTGACGTGACAGCCGGAAGGCTACGAAGTGCTGTCACTAAGTGCCAATGTGGGGCCCTTTCCTTTGGCGGGGGGCTTCGGGAACAGCACCTGGGATCTTAGTTCTCAGGTCTGTGACGAGAGAGGCTGCTCTTCTGAGATGGAGGAGACTTGGAAAGATTAAAACTCAGCCCCTTGGCTTTTCTGACATGAAATCCAAGTTCCAGGGAAGGGAAAGGACTGGCTCCGGGTCACACAGTGAGTTAGTGATGGGGCTGGGCCTAAACCCATGCCTCCTGGTTCCCATGTGTGGCTCTGTCCACCATGCCACATTGCGTCCCTGCCTTCTGTCTGGAAGATACTTCACTCAAAACTCTCTTTTTAACCCTGAGTTGGATCTTCCCAGGGGATGGAAGTGTACTATTTAATTCCCTTTGTGTTTTTCAGTCTTGGCCTAAAGTTTTCTTTTTTTTTTCCCCAAGTGTCTGGAAGGATAAGTGCTGTGTGGTGGGGAGCTGCTTTCTTCCCAAAGGCCAGGAGGGGTGGTTCAGTCTGAACTACTGTATAAGAAGACGGACAGCACGTTCTCAAGAGGAAAGGTGTTTGTGTCCACATATTGGAATTTATCCACCTCGACCGATATGGTGGTGTTGACCTGAAGGTGTTCCAACAAGAACTGGGAGAGGTTCTGGTATATGTTTTTGGTTTGCACTCCAGACTCACACACCGTCACCAGCGTCTGCTTTTTGACATCTTTGTTGATGAGGAGCTCCAGCTTCAGGTCTACCGAATGCTCTGGGCATTTCACAAGAAACTGCAGTTGGCAGATGATGAAGTACCAACCTGGGAACTGGATCACCAGGTTCCCATCCTGATATCTGACTCCATGGATGATGCCATCTTTGTTCCAAGACAACTTGGATTTGTTTATATGCTTTGACACTGGAAGGAGAAAGACAAAAGGACCTCAGAGTCATTAGGCAAATTTCAGATGCAGATTAGAAAATTTGAAATCTTTATTCAAGTTTTCCCATTCAAGCCCCGTGTTTTCTATAATAATGCCTGCTGGTTCAGCCATCTGGAATATCTTGCATGTTAGTCCTAGGCATTGCTGAGTGTTTAAGGTACAGGTACAAAACCATCCCTCTGCTTTTTCTCTAAAGCGTAAAGCTGGAGGGTCAGAAAACACACAGTCCTAGACCTTTATCCCCTACAGAGGTAACTGTTTTCCACTTAATCATTTTATCACTCTGTTATTATTATTATAAGTTCTACTTTTCCCTTTTCAGACCATAAGTTCCTGGACTGTTCTCCTTATAAGTTTTAGACTATCATGGACATATATTCAATCAATCAATGAACATTTGATCAATAGGGGACTGCTATTGGGTAAGCATTGCACAAAGTATCAGAGAAAAAGCATTCAGTTTTGTTCAATTAGTAACCAATTCAGGCATCAAGAAGTCTAGGAGAACCTCAGTCTGTTCTTTCACATTCAGATGCATCCCTTAACTGTTCATTTTCTGAAGTTTTAAATGTCTTCCTCTCTTTAAAAGGGCAGCCAGACACCACTGTGTAGACCTCTCAAGCTCACATTAAGGGACCCCTCCCAGCCGGGATTCATAGAGGAGCAGAGAATTAGCAGGCCCTCTAAGCAGGCATGTTGGTGTCAGAAGCCAAGTCTCTTGAGTCTTTTCACTGACAAGTCAAAATCAGCCCTGATGGGTCCAGGTGTCTTTCAGAATTGGGAAGCTGGCATGTTCATTTTAATTGCTTTCCTTTAAACCTTGTTGCAATTCCACTGAAGAATGAAAACTAATCTAACTGCAAAATTGAATTTTGAAAATGAACAGGATGGCTATTGCAGAGAATCTTGGCCATCTCCGCTGTACCTCATCTATCCTAGCATAAATGCCTCTTATCAGTTCGTCTCTAAGGAACCTCTTACCTGAAGCATGCTGCAATATGCAAGTGGGGCCTGTGCCAACATGGTCATTAAGCTATCAATCTGGACACCAGGAAGTTTTGTGACTCTCTTGTGAATGACTCGATAGAGGCAGAGATTAAGAGCCTGCTTCCCACATATGAGGGAAAGGACAGTACCCTTGGCCTGAATGAAGATGGGTGGGGGTGGAGCACCAATTCCCTCACAGGCCAGGCAGGCAAATGTAACAGAGTGAATGAAGTTTAGGAAGCAGGAATCTTGCAGCTTTTGAGAACAATGCTCTCCCCTCTCCCCCTAAGCCATTTAAATTTAAATTATAAAAATGGATCACACAGGTTAAACAAAATACACATGCAGGTCACGATTTGGCACTTGTGACCTCTGGCTTAGAAATCTGAGAAAGGCCATAGGAAGTGACCCTCATATGGTTGGGGTTCCCGGTTTTGGTTACTGACCTTGGAGGTAGGCCCATGACTTCTTGAATGGAGCCCTTTCCAGGATACATGAGATGTCCTCTGAGCAATTCCCTAAAAATAAGAATGCACGTTAAATGCCTCTCTCTGCTCTGGGAACTGGAGACACGAGATCTTTTCCCATGACCCTTTGATGGAGACAATTACGATCCTGTTTCCATTTGGGGGATAAAAGGAAAACCTGTTTTTTTCTCATTTTGCCATCAAGTACCTTAGGAGTTTTGTTTTTTTTTTCCTTTAAATTTGATTGCTTCCACATGGACTTTTACAAAAGATTGTGGAAATTGGAGGAAGGAAATAAACAGGGCCTGAGTTCCTGTATGTACCTGGTGCCATTCTTGACACTTAAAATACTCCACCTCACTGGATTTTTGCAACAGCTCTGTGAGAGAGGGCTGATTAAATCCCTTTGAGAGAGAGAAAAAAGCACAGGCGCTATACACGTTCAGTGCATTGTCTTGTGTGACTCAGCCAGGCAGTGGTAGTTAGAACACTAAGGCTGGTAGTGATTACTGCCATCCTTCCTTTGAGAGTGTACTCATGTGCTGATTGAATTCTCAGAATAGCTCTGCAAGGCTAATGCTGATGTCCAGACGTGGTCAGCAATACAAGGTCATTGCAAGTTGGAGGAAACCCTGATAGCCACTCCCATGTCTATCTGATTTCAGAGACCAGGCTTCCTCCTCAAGGCCATTTTGCCAGACAGAAGAGGTAAACACATCCTAGTGTTCAATTTTAAAAGGATATTAGATCATAGAGACCTAAGCAGGGAGCCTGCTATATGGAGCTTCCTTGGCAGGGAGAAAAGACAATGTTTATGTCATTGTGGAATTTAAGAAATCAGAATATTTTTAATGTATTCACTGGTGATGGCAGCTTCATTTCTTAGTATAGTAACTATTTTGTATGCACAGAACCAAGCTATACATTTCCTGCAACGACTCATGAATTCAACTTATTCTGGGCATTTTTTTCTTCTCGTTGGGTCTTGGTTTCCCTCATCTATAGAACTGGCAGATCTAGGATCTGACATTGACATCTTTTTGATGATGTCACCAGAGATGACAGAGATGACCCGATGATTCCATCTGTCAGAGACTAGGCAGCCATTCAGTCAAAGTGACCACATCCTAGCAGGCTTGCTCACGGGGATTTTAGAGAAGCATCTGTTGGACTCGCCACAGTCTTCTACATTGTCCTCTGTCCTGGCCTGGGAAAATCCCTCCTGGCCTTCCTTACAGTGGGGGCTTGCAGTGGTAGAAAGTTAAGTGAAGAGTTCCCCCTGCTGTCTGAACAAGCTCACTGCTAGAGGCACCCCCAGCAGAAGCAGGGGTCTGTTTTCATTCTTATCTCCCCTGGAGGTGTAAAGAGGCTCTGGTCCACAGGTCTCTTTGGTGAGGAGGGCTGGAGGGCTAGATGCCATTGTTCTTTTGATTTCATCTCTCACTCATCCTCCAGCTAGGGATCTTGTCCTGCTTGCAGCCCACTCTTGGGTTGTGTACAGTCACAGCAAAGGAGGCAACGAGGACTGCTCATTCTTTTTTTTTTGAGCCATGCCCCACAGAGCTTATGGAATCTCAGTTCCCTGCCCGGGGATTGAACCTGGGCCAAGGCAGTGAAAGCCCGAGTTCTAGCCACTAGGCCACCAGGGAACACCGAGGGCTGTTCATTTTTAAATGCGCTGTGGCTATGAGTAGAAGGCCCAGCCTTCTTTTTTGGGGGCTGTGGAACATCAGGTCAAAAGGAATCGCAGAGAGACATGTCTGGCTGTGTCTCTTTGCTTGGAACCCCTTTCTGACCCCACTGTGACTGCAGGATCGGGGCCAAGCTCCTCCCCATGGCATCTGTGTTCCGTTGTGTCCTAATCCCTCATGAACAATGCAGCCTCCTCCCACACCTTCCCTCTTCCCCTTGTTGGTCTCTTGTACTTGTCCCAGCAGTAGAAGTGGTGGTGCTGGGAATAATACTACTAGCTGACACACAGTGACTAATGGCTATTTTCTTTTTACTCTGCTAAGCCTGTTACATGCATTATTTTATTTCGTTCTCACCATCACCCCACAAGAAAGGTACTCTAGACACTTCTCTCGTACATAAGGAAACTGAGTCTTTAAAAGTTATGTGGCTTGTCACATTTTCATAGCTAGTCAGTGGTAGAGGGGCAATTCAAGCTGAGGCTGTCTGACTCTAATGCCCGAGTGGATTTTTGACCATTCTGCTGGAGGTTGGGCCCTTGGGATGCCCCCAATTACACTATGTTGGTTTTCCATTTCATCTGGAATCCTCCTCTTCACTGGCAAGCTGTGCCTTGTTTAAAACACTGCCTGGCAGCCACCCGCTCTGGGAACCCTTCTCTGACCCTCCCTTCCATTTGCCTATTTGCCTTCTCCATGGACCATGCATCCTCAGGGCAGAGACTACTGTTTCCACATCCCCACTGCCAGCCCAGAAGATACTGTGTAAATGTTTGTTGAGTTCAATCATGTAGTCTGTCTCTGCTCCTTCCCGTGGATGTCAGCTCAGTTCTCAGGGCTTGAGGAAGGGAATGCGGATGCTTGGCCTGACCTCGCCTTCTGGGCTGGACGACACCTGGCCTCATTCTCTCTTTGGTCCTGCAGGTCAGGCTAGATTACACGGGAGGTTAAGATTCAAGCCTTTGGCTCAGGCCAGCACATCACACCGTGAACAGACTCTCCTCCTCGGCCACGACCCCTCCCACCTTGTCTCTTGTGGCATCTGTCAGTTGAGCCTCTCTTAACAGGTGGATGTAGAAGTAGGTAGATGTAGAAGTACAAGCCTGGACTTGCCTCTCACACATGCAGGTTCTTTTTTTTTTTTTTTTCTTTCCCCTTTGGTCTTTGCATGTTTGTTGGGTTGACCTCAGCTGTAATTCTGAGAAACCCAAGGATGGAAAAAAAAAAACTTATTTTGAAGCTTTTGCATTTCCTGAAATCAAATGCCATGGTGTGTCTTAGTTTTTCTTAAAGAATCTGTTAGATGTTTTGAAAAGAAGGGAAGACAGAGGCAACTCTCCTGAAGAATGACATCACTGAGTTGGCTAAGGGAAGGGACTGGGGAAGCAGGGCTCCGGAGGAGCTCTCGGTGGAATGGAACTGCTGAACGTGGAGAGGAGCCTGGAGAAGGCACACTGCTGGTCCTAAGCATCTCTCAAGGCCGTTAGGAGGGCCAGGGCTGATGGGGGCTGGCTCTGTGGGCCCAAACAACATGGCTCCTGGAAGTTTAGGGAGATAAATAGCGAATGCCGCTCTTGTCCCCATTTCCCAGATGAGGCAGTGGGAAGACTTTCATTAAGGACATACAGCATACACTGCAAGTCACAGTGCTGGCAGCTCAAATACTGGACCAGTCAGTGCTGTTCAGAAATGTGTTGGGCTGGTGTGAGAGTCATGTGACTCTTGTCAAGACCTAGATGAATGTTCCATGGGTCACCAGCCATGTGGCTTTGAGTCTCCTTATCACCCTCTGAGCCCATGATGTGATCTTTTTTGGTTATGAGACAGGAATCCTATAGTATTCCTGGAAGTTTGAATTTGGGGAGCATTGGGAGCAAAAGATACCTCTCTTTCATTTATTTCCCAACCAAATTAGCTGCACCTAGGGGTTTAATTTGAAGAACTAAACACTAGGGAGGGGAAGTGAGAACAGTCCGCACATCTTGGCAAGTAGATGGCCCAGGAGTTAGAATCTAGAACTTTTCTTTGTCTGGGCGGTTGTGTCTCAAGCTATATGAAGAGCAGGGTGGATCAGATGATCCAGTAGGGCCCTTCTAGCTGACTCTAGCTGGCTCTGTAGACTCAAGTGTACACTGCCAGGCCTGCTGCAGGGACACAAAGTCAGTCCCAGCTCCAACTGTCTTATCTTTTGAGCATGTTTCTCTACCCCAGCTAGGAGTCTGTCTACACACATTAAGATTTCCGGACACCTGTAGCAGTAGAACAGAGTGTTTTAGGTCTGGGAATAACCTAAGTTATGAACGACCTGGTTCTGTAAGGGTTTTCATGGTTCACAGAACTGGAAGTTCCCTGAGAAATCATTCGTCCCAGCCTTGGTAACTACATAACACACGTGCTCCCCAGTGTTACCCCCACAAGCAGACTTGTCCGAGGTCACCCCGAGTCAGTGGTGGGGCTGGGCCACAGTCTGGACCCCTTGCCTCTGTCGGGCATTCCATCTTCCAGACAACTCAGGTTCTCTGTGGGTACTCCTGAGAACCAAGGTCTTCAGGTGGGCAAGACTTGTAAGCCATCCTCTCAAGCCTCAGTCTCCTCTAGAAGGATCATGAAATTTTCTTGGGCTTTGTTAGGAAGCCTGGAGAGAAACATTTGCCAACAAAGCCCTCCTGGTCAGGTGCATAGAAGACAGAGACAGGGAGAGAGATGTTGCTTTAGGTGGTTGGAAGGGTCATGTTCTAGATAGAAGTCAGAACAATGCAACATGAAGATGGGAACCCTTCTTGAGATCTCGAAATATTAGACCCAAAAGGACCATTGGATGCCAAGTTGACTGTGATGCTAGGTTTACGAGTGGAGAGGCTGAATCCAGAGGGACTGGCTCAAGACCGCACAGTAGGTTAGTGGCAGAGCTGGGTCCAGAGCACAGAGTCCCTGACTCCTAGTCCTCGGCTCTGCCCTGGTTTCCAGTCTTCCCATGCAGCAGAGAGGCTTAAATGTAGGGATAAGTGGGTTTGCAGCCACCATACACACTGGCCTGAAAACTGACTAGACAGCTATGGGTGCCTGGAAAACAAGCACTAATGAGCCATCTGGACTTCCTCTTCCCAGGGGAATGCCAGCCGGTGACTTCAGATTCATGGGCTGAACCCTGCCAAGTAATAAGTCAGGGGCTGTCAGGCTTCCATTAAGATGCAACAATGCCCAATGGGGCAAAACAAGCCACACCTACCATTCCAGCCAGAAAGTATGTGGTCTGAGTGCCAAGTACCTTCCAGGTTAATATTGGAGCAAAACAGACACAGTGCATCTCAAAGAAAGCACCTGGGTTCTGGTCAAGACTTCTAACATCAGACTTGTCAC